GAAGTGGACCTGCAGGCCATCAGCACCGAGCTGGAGGGCGAGGTGTGCACCAAAGACAGCAAGTTCAAGATGCCCAAGTTCAAGATGCCCTCCTTTGGCATGACAGTGCCTGGAAAGACCATTGAGGGCTCGCTGGAGGTGTCAGCACCCAAGCTGGAGGCCGACGTGTCCCTGCCTGCCATCCAAGTAGACCTGAAGACCCCTGAGGCCAGGGCTTTGCTGTCCTCTGCTGACTTTGACCTGCAGGCTGGACAGATGGGTGTAGAACTGCCCAAGGGAGCCCTGCCTGAGTTGGAACTGTCCACCACGGGCTCGGAAGACAGCCTGAAGGGCCACCTGCCCAAGGTGCAGATGCCCAGAATCAAGCTGCCCAAAGTGGAGCTGAAGGGTCCCAAGGAGGACGTGAATGGCCCCAAAGGCAATCTCAGTGGCCACGAACTGGAAGTGTCGCTACCTGGCACTGAGGTGGACCTGCAGGCCCCCAGCGCCAAGCAGGAAGCTGAGGTGTTAGTAAAAGACAGCAAGTTCAAGATGCCCAAGTTCAGGATGCCCTCCTTCGGCATGATGGCTCCTGGGAAGTCCAATGAGGCCTCTCTCGAGGTATCCGCACCCAAGCTGGAGGCAGATGTGTCCCTGCCTGCCATCCCAGTGGATCTGAAGACCCCTGACACCAGGGCTCAGCTGCCCTGTACCGATGTGGATTTTCAGACCCCACAGGTAGGAGTGCCGCTGCCTGAGACGGCACTGCCCGAGGCAGAGTTGCCAGGTGCTGACCTGAAGGGTCATCTGCCCATGGTGCAGATGCCCAGCATGAAGATGCCCAAAGTGGACCTGAAAGTCCCCCAGGTGGACATGAAGGGGCCCATGGTGGAAGTGAAAGGCTCCAGAGGTGATCTTGGTGTCACCGAGCTGGAGGTATCACTGCCTGGTGCCGAGGTGGACCTGCAGGCCATCAGCACTGAGCTGGAGGGCGAGGTGTGCGCCAAAGACAGCAAGTTCAAGATGCCCAAGTTCAAGAAGCCCTCCTTCAGCGTGACCTCACCCGGTGAGACCATCAAGGCCTCACTGGAGGTTTCCTCTCCCAAGCTTGAGACCAATGTGTCCCTGCCTGCCGTCCAAGTGGACCTGAAGACCCCTGAGGTCAGCCCTCCTCTGCCCTCCACTGACATTGACTTGCAGGCTGAGCAGCTGGGCGGAGAACTGCCCACGGGAGCCCTGCCCAAGGCAGAACTGTCCTCCATGGGTTCAGGAGCCGGCCTGAAGGGCCACCTGCCTAAGGTGCAGATGCCCAACATCAAGATGCCCAAAGTGGAGCAAAGGGGTACCAAGGCAGAGGTAAAAGGGTCCAAGGGCAAGCTCAGCGGCTCCGAGCTGCAAGTGTCACTTCCAGGTGCCAAGGTGGACCTGCAGGCCCCCAGCGCCAAGCAGGAGGCAGAGGTGTCAGTGAAAGATAGCAAGTTCAAGATGCCCAAGTTCAAGATGCCCTCCTTCGGTGTGACAGCACCCAGCAAGACCATCGAGGCCCTGCTGGAGGTGTCCCCATCCAAGCTGGAGGCTGATGTGTCCCTGCCCACTGTCCAAGTGGACCTAAAGACCCCTGAGGCCAGTGCTGTGTTGCCCTGTGCTGATATGGAGTTGTCAGCCACACAGCCTGGCCTCCAGCTGCCTGACAATACAGCTCCTGAGGCAGAGCTGCCGGGAGCCAGTCTGAAGGGCCATCTCTGCAGTGTTCATTTGCAGAGCATCCAGTTGTCCAAAGTCGAGCTGAAGGGCCCCAAAGCAGATATGCAAGGCCCCGAAGGCAATGCTGTTGGCCCTGAGCTGGAGGCATCGCTGCCTGGGTCCGAGGTTGACCTGCAGGACACGGGCAGTAAAGTGGAGGGTGAGCTGTCCGTCAGCACAGCCAAGATGCCCACATGCCAGATTCTAGACTGCAGCGTCAACACGCCTTGCAGGTTTGATGCCTCACAGGAGCTGTGTGGGACCATGGTGGAGACAGAAATGTCCCTTCCTGTGGTCCATCTCGACGTAAAGAGTTCTGAGGCGAGTGCTCATTTGCTCTCCACTGACGTGGAGCTGCACTCAGGCAACCTGGGGTGGAAGCCGTCCAAGGGAGTCCCTCTCAGCACGGAGCTACAGTGTGCCAGCCTGAAGGCCCACCCACCCGGGGCGCAGATGCCGAGCATCATGCTTCCCAAAGTGGACCTGAAGGGACCCCAGGGGGACCTGAGTAGCACTGCAGGTCAGTGTGTTTGTGAATGTTCCACTGATTCTGATGTGAGTCTTTCTTCTGGAAAAGATGGAAGTAAGTATGGGTTTACCAAATCTTCTCTAGGCCTCTCTGCCCATGACACTGTGGATCGTGTTTTTGTGAGGGATGAGGCCCATTTCCCTGCCCTCCTTGACCACTCCCTCTCCCCTCAGCTTCACTTGGCTTCTGCAGAGCCTCTGGATGCAGCCGTGTCACGCCCTCGCCCCACCATTCCATCCCCAAAGCTCACACTCTCAGACCTCCCTTCCTGCAACACGGGGAGCATCGAGCCCACGCTTGCTCAGCCAGAACCCTCTGTCTTCCCTCCCACGGAGGGTGTGATGCTCACTCCACTCCAGGGTCCTGCTGTGTTCACCCACGGAGCCCCCTGGGAGGCTGCTTCTCTGTCCCTAGTTGTGGCCCCATCTGTAGGATCACAGTCCTCTGTGGATACGCAGACTGAGCAGGCTCCTCAGGCCGCTCTCACTGGCCACCACTCTCATCCAGAAGGTCTCCTGTCTCCTAGGGTGACTTTCCCTAAATTCCACAAACCTCGCTTCATGGTTTCATTTCCACGTGCAGTGGCTCCTGAGGGAGATCCAGGCACTACAGAGTGGGGTCTAGTCCCACCCCTCTGCCAGGCACTGGGCCAGGACTCCTCTAGTCATTCAGCAAAAGCTTCCCAGCTTCCAGGCTCCTGGCCAGCACCCAGGGCTGCTCTTTTGTCCCAGAAAATGGGGAGTCCCTGGAGCCCATCTGCAGGAGGAGCTGTGGCAGAAGGTGCTGAGGGGGAGGGGGCCAGAGGTCCCTTTAAAACTCGCTTCAAGCTGCCATTGTTTAGCCGGTCACCAAAGAAGGAAGCCAGGTCAGCAGGGGATACCTCGTGCCACCTGGAGGACCACTCAGGCAGTCTTGCAATGGGTCTGGATCATGAGGCCTTCCACCCTGGAGTTCAGGGCTCTCACACTGAAGCAAACATAGCCCTACCCCCAGGAAAGGAAGGCGACGTGGGCAGGACCAGGAAGGCTGGCCTTGCCCTTCCGAGACTGGCCCTTCCCAAGTTCAAGGCGTCTAAGGGACAGGCTGAGCTGTGGCTACAGGGTGACACAGCCACCGTGCTTTCTCACACAGGTGACTGTGACGCCACAGAAAGCAGTGGAAGTAAAGGTAGTGTGAGCAGCAGTGGCCATCCTGAAGGGCCTCAAGAAGCAGGGCATATGGCTTGTCAGGTGTCACAGCCCCTTGCCCCCAGTGTAGGCTTGGCCAACCCTGATCTCCAGTCTTTCCCAGCCAAGGAGGGGGAAAGCCAGTGTGAGGCTGTTCCCAGGCGGGACCTGATGGTGGGAGGAGACAGCCAAGGATCTGGCCTTTTGGACGTCTCAGCCAGTCAGCCCTGTGGAGAGGGGACAGCCCCCACCATGGGAGAGCCCCTGAAGCCATCCCTGGGATATAGAGACCAAGTCTTCCCTCAGGAGAGCCCAGAGGAAAGCCCCACTGCAGAGGGCACAGCAGCCGATTCCCAAGAGCACTCGTTCAAAATGCCTAAGCTCCGCAGGCCTAGCTTTGGGCAGCCCTCATCCAAGGAGCGAAGCGGGACTGGGGAGCAGAGCAGGGCTCGGCTGCACGTGCTGGTGGCCACTGCACCTGCACAGGCGGCAGCAGCCAGCAGTGTCCTGGCAGTCTCTCCTCCTGGGTCAGGGGTGGAGGCCAGTGTATCCTGGCAGCCCCCAAACACAGAGGCTGCGGCGACAGGTCCTGGGAGTGCCTCCTACGCAGATGTTCTAAAGCGTGATCTCCACTGCTCAGGCTTGAAGCCACATCCCCCCTCTGTGGGGAAGACCAGAGGAGACCAGCCTCTCTCTAAGGCATACATTTATCCAGCGGAAGGCTCTGTCCCTCTCCAGAAGCCCAGCAGGAGGCCTTTAGAGTCCCAAGCTCCTGCAGCAAGGGAGGAGAAAACAGAGCTGTGGCCCTCCCTGCCAGAAGGGCCCGTGACTTTGAGGGTGTCCAGCACCGACGTGCCATCCCAGGTATCCATGGTGGACATGCAGCAGCTCTGGGAAGACTCTGTGCTCACTGTCACATTCCCCAAGCTCAAAGTGCCCAGGTTCTCCTTCCCAGCCCCTGGCTCGGAGGTAGATATCTTCTTTCCTGTGGTGAGGGATGTGCGGGGAGTGGGGGCAGGTGAGGACCCAGGGCCTGGGCTCTGGGATGCCAGCCTCCTGAGGGCAGGCCCCAGGGAGCCCAGGGAGCAGCCCATGGGCTCCACCTGCACCTCAGATGCATCCCCAGTGTCCAAGGTGAAGGCACACATCCAAGGGGTACAGGGCGAGAGCCACAAGGTCATGGTGTACAGCCAGGCAATGCAGGAAAGTGTGGAGCTCATGGTCCCAAAGGCCTTTCCCACTCACATTGTGCGGGAATCCGAGGTCCCCACGTCCACTGTACAGATACCTTCTTATGGATTTTCTTTGCTGAAGCTGAAGACCCTGGGACCTCCCACTCAGGCTCCAGATCCCAGAGTGCAGGAGGGCTCTGCTGCCACCAGAGTGGGGTCTGTCCCTGAGGGCTGTGCCCCAGAGGCTACAGAGCCATTTGAGGAGGTCTCAGTGAGCACCAGCCTCCCTGAGCCGTGGATGCTCAGGCCTGGTGTTCCTGCCAAGCCCCCACCTGCAGATGGTGGCTCTGACGATGAGGAAGAACCTGCAGAAACCCTCGAGTTCCTTCCTGAGGAGAGTGGGGAGGCTGCAGCACCACTGGCAGCTGAAGACGGAGTTCCAAAAGGTGGGCCAGAAGGAACAAAGACTTCTGGTATGTTCTGGTCCTGGCTTCCCAGCATTGGCTTCTCCTCCTCTGTCAGTGAGGCCCCTGCCGGCCCCAGAGAAGACGCCCAAAGATCTGTTCCTGTCCAGACCCAGCCAGGGCCTCGGCCAGACTTGGAACCACCTAAGAGGCAGGAGAGGGTGGGCTGGTTCCGGTTTCCCAAATTGGGGTTCTCCTCCTCGCCCACCAAGCAGGTGAAGAGCACAGAGGATGAGGCAGGCCTGGCTGAGCCAACGCGCCAGGAAGAAAGCACGACCTTCTTTGATGCCCGGGAAAGCTTCACCCCTGAGGAGAAGGAGGGTGAGCCAGCTGCAAGCACCCCAGACACCACAGCCATGGTGGCATCCTCGGCAAGAACAGAGTTGATCCTGCTGGAGCCGGATACTTGCACTAGCAAGGAATCTGCACCCAGACCAATGAGCAAATGAAGGTCAGACAGGTGCAACGGCAGGACAGTGGCGGGCACTACTCAGAGCTCCCTGTGCTGACCCTACACAGCACCCTGATTCACAGAGCTGACCAAAGCAGAGGCTGGCAGCGCTGCACACTGCCCTAAACAGAACCCAACACATGCCCAGCTCCTGCTGGGCTGGGGAGGCAAACAAGGCACCCAGACTTCTCCCAGTCCAGACCCTGGGGCCTGAGTGTCCTGCTGCTCCTCTAGTGTGCTCAGCCCTGACCCCAGAACCCGGCCTGTACAGCTGCACCAGGCCCAGGTGGAGCTGACTCAGTGGCCCGCTGGTGGCAATAAAGAAGCAGTGTGTCCCATGGTAAAGGCTGCTGAGCTCTTTTGTTCTGGGGGCCTAACTCACCATGCCCGCTTTCCCCACACTCCTGGTCCTGGTCACCACCAGGTCACTCTCGAAGCTAGCATCCAGTGTGTGTCCCCAGTGGCTATCCCTTCTCATCTGTGTGTCTGGGGACCATGAGGAGGAAGCCAGGACTTGAGCTCAGAGCAGCAGAAGACACTGACACATCACTGGCAGTGGGGAAGCAAGGCTGGACGGGAGCCCGTGTGCAGGGCAGCGCAGCAGGGAGCAGGGACTGCGCTCACAGCTGCCTGGCCACGGTCACCTCCTTCCAGGCAGCCTTGGGAAGGGAGTCCACTGGGGCTACAGGGATGTGGGAGTCCCTGCATCACCCCTGCTGCCCCTGGACGCCCTCCAGTTCCAGATCTCAGCTGAGTAGGACAGCTACTGACTTGTGGCTGGCTACCTGGAAGGCCCTGAGAGGGCTCAGAGGGTGACGGTGAGAGCATGCCAGAGCTCAGGCCAGGTGCCCCAGACCAGCGTGGGCCACCACATTTCCCTGTGGCTGGCTGGACCGCCCAAGTCAGGGGGTAGAAAAGGAGTGTCCAGGCCTACTGCACTCCCGCCAGGGGCCTTGCCTGCTCTGCACACTGTGTGTAGGCCACTTGGTTGCATGCAGAGTTCTGTCCCATCTGGACCTGGAGTCAGGCCAGGTGCTGCAGGTGGTACCTGAGTGTCAGGGTGCCCTTGGGCTTCAGGGGCCTTGCATCCCTGCATGAGTCCTCCGTGCTGTGTGTTTGGGGGTCTCCAGTCCTCTGCCACTCGGATCTCTCTTTGGGACAGCTCATACCATCAAGGCAGTCAGGGGAACCGTAGGCACTCTTACACCAGGTGATATCCTATTCCCTTTGTGTGTTCTTTTGGGGACAGGTGAGGTGACAGACTGGGAGGGTGACTGCCTGCCGGGCATGTGAGATATAGCCCCAGGAGCCGGGAACCCTGCAGGATGGGGTAAATCTGGCTTCCTCAGCCACACACTCTCCAGGGCTGCACAATCCAGGCAGGGTGGGCTGGGCTGGGCATGCAGGGTGCTCAGGTCTAAGACTCCTGTGGATGGGCATATGGAAGGGCACTATGAAGGCAGAGAGACCAGGCGCCGCACTGGGATGAGCTGTGTCATCTCCCCTGGAGAAGGACCAAAGGGGCAGGAAGAGGCACTGGGACTGCAGAAGACAGGACCCTGGTGACCACAGTGTCCAGGTCCCTTTGCATCCCAAAGGTGGGCTCCAGTGGTATGGCCTAGAGGCCTGAGCAGACCTGTCAGGCCCTGAGTAGATAGCTTCAGCAGGCCCACAGCAGAAGTGGGGCTGTACTGGCAGGCTGCGCAGTGGATCTCACCAGTGAAGCACCCCCTTCCCTCTGCAGCTCAAATCCACACCCGCTGCACCCACACACTAATGCTCCTCACTGGGTGCTGCCGCTGAGCCTGTGCAGGCACCTGGTCCTTCATGCCGGCCCTGCCCCTCCATGCACCTGCCCCATCCCCACAGCTCTGTGCCACCTCTGAAAACCCTGCCTACAGCCCTGGGCCCTACCCCATGAGAGCCCCACAAACTGAGCCCTGCAAATGTACACCATGCCCACTTATTCAGACCCACCCATGGCCCTGCCCACAGCTGGAGGTCACTCACCAACACCCACACAGACCATGCCCACCCCCTAGTTCCACCCACGGCCCCACCCACAGCCTCCACAACAGATGAAGCTTTGCACTCCTTCCCTGAGTGGGAGCTGTGTGAGTGAAGTTGGTCCTTGCACCCTTCACCTTCATGTATGAACCGAAATTCTGTGTTCAGGACACGAGCCTGGAGGGTAGGTGCCCTGCAGGTGGGTGCTGGTGCCACCCATCCACCTGCTCCATGTCTTGAAGGCTGGAATGGGTGAGGCTTAGTGAGCTTGTAGCTGGCTTTCCTCAGTTCAAGTGGTCATGGACAGTTAGTTCCTGCTGGACTCACAGAGGGCAGCCTCTCTTGTAGGCCCAGATTGCAGCTCGAGGACTTCAGAGCTGGGGTGTCCCAAGGGCTCCCTAAGAGGGAGAGCTTTGGGCCTGTGTCTGGATCAAGAGGCTTGAGCAGTTGGGACCCAGGAGGAGCAGGGCAGGAGGCAGCTGCAGGACCCCAGCTGGACAGGGAAGGAGGGCTGAAGCTTGCCGACCTCTGTAAAGAGTGGTCAGCCTGGAGGCAGACAGGCGTGTGCATGTATGACTGGGGCAAGGAAACGACTGCGGGTGCTGACCCAACCTGGGCCAGGCCACAGGCCAAAAGCTTCTCTTATTAGGGCTGCAGCTGCACAGAGGTCACCACGACCCAAAGCGCTACACTTGGGACAATGCCACTGTGGGTGATCGAGGGGTCCAGTGGGGCCCAGTGAAGTGCCGAGCCCCTCCCACACTGTCACACTGCAGGGCATCCCCAGGCCCACTGAGTCACATGTGACCTGAGCGATTGCCGAGCTCAGAAGCAGAACGCAGGATCTGGGCGGGCCGGGTCCGACCCACCACCTCACCCCCTGACCTGGGCCCCGTCACGGTTCTCGGGCCTGAGCAAAGCTGTTTTGCTCTCACAGCTCTGTGCCTGAGCCAGTGCCAGTGGGCACCAGCATCTACTAAGGGCTGCGGGCCAAGGCCAGGGCTGCGCCTCAGCCCTGCCACACACAGTCCTGGCCCAGGGTGTGTCCATCCAGGCCCACGGCATAGCGGGAATGCCAGTCTCGCTCGAAGAGCTGCCGCAGCTGCTCCTGCACAGGAGGCGGCCCTAGCCGGCCTTGGGGAGCCCGTTGGTGGAGCACCAGGCCCACCCCTGAGGTGCTGCTGAAGTAGTCTTCTGACCAGTTGGAGGTGCCTGGGGAGGTGAATGGAAGGGCACGGGGGCCTGGTATGGGCTCTGCAGCCTGGCCGCTGCAGCCCTGCAGGGATCTAGGGACCCTTAGCAGATGCAGGGGGCCAGTGAGTGCCCCAGCTTCCTTTGGTCTCAGCAGGACAGGTGTCCTGACTCAGCCTTGTGGCTGGACCTTGGACCCTGTACTCAGGATCTCCCCACCCATGTGCGTGGAGCCTGGCAGCAACTGGGCTGATCACTTGGTCCCCCGAGCACCCCTGGAGACCCTAGACATCTTGGCAGCCCCTGCTGAGGACGCACAGGCCCCCGGCCACTTACCTATGTAGGCTGTCTTCTCTGTGACCACGTACTTGCTGTGGCTCACCCGGCTGAACGGGATGTTAGAGTGATTCCCTATGGGCACGATGAACACTTTCTTCCCAGGCAGGGCAGGAGGAGCATGTCAGGCTGGGTTGGGAGGGCCAGGTCCAACCACCACCCCTGCCCACCTGACACAGGCCCTCACCACATCCACTGAGACACCGGCTGAGGGGTTGCTGAAGGCCTGGAGTGACCGCAAGTACGGGAACATAGTGGGGTCAGTGTGTAGCCAGCAGCTGACCAGCAGGCGCACACGCACACCTTGCCCAAAGGCTGCTGCCCTCAGTGCATTGTCCAGCACGGGCCAGTACCTGGAGGAGCAGGAAAGCAGCAGGAGGGAGGGGAGCTTCCCCCAGGTCCAGGCGGCCTCCACCTCAGGGCGCACCTGCTGCCGTCCATCCCACCTGGCGGGGCGGCGAAAGCGCGTGGTGGGGAAGTACTCCATCACAGCGACATAGAGGAACTCCCGCGCATCCTCCATCACTGCCAGCACTGAGTCCAGGTCCTGGGTGCGGCCATGAGGACAGAGCGCAGGCGGTGAAGCCTGTGAAAGGAAGTCATCCCTGAAGGTGCCTGGCTGGCAACCACCCTGGCCCTGGGTGTCACAGCACAGAGGCCCCACCTCCCGCCCTGAGATGCCCTGTCTGTGTGTGAGTGGCATGGGGGCAGAGATGCTGTTTGGGAAGAGGGGTCTTGACAGGTTGTGGGACAGTGGATGCTGGCAGGGCCTCCTGGGATCTGAACTGTCCCAGGCTGTCTCTGCCCCAGAAAGTTGCTCGTTCCCTCCAGAGTAGGACCCCGCATCGGGCTATCTCCATTCCAATGCAAAGTCTCTGCCACGGGTCAGTCGCCGGGACAGTTGAGGTGCCACCTGGAGTGCCCTGAGTGGGGCTGCTGGCATCTATTTCCTCCCACAGAATGAGATATGCTCGATGTGAAGGCCTGCCACCCACCCTGGAGCCCAGCCAGCACTTCCTGACCCCTGCTTGCTTCAGCAGCCTGCAGGATGCTCCAAATTGGACCCCCAACCTTCCAAATGTCTCCTGCTGCTTGAGCCAGCTGGGCCCTTCCTGGAGCTGAGCCTGTGTCCCTGATCAGCCCCTGGCCCTCATGTTGGGACCTCAGCCCCATGGCTCCCTAGGATCAAGCAGGTGCTGCGGGCATTCAAGGCTGGGCCCTCCACAGTGCCTCACCGAGAAGTAGGCAGTGGTGGGCATCCCATCGAAAAGGCCTCGGAAGGGCCAGAAGCGATTGATGTGGGTTGAGAAGTTCTGAGGCCAGATCTTGGGGAGGATGGCATGGGGCGCTCCCAGCACCCAGTATGTCTGAAAGGTTTTCTCCAGGTCCTGGGCCAGGCTGCTGCAGTTGTAGATGATGGCACCCAGTTCCTTTACCTATGGGAATGAGGATCAGCTGCGGCAGCATCATCCGTGGGGTTCTGTGATGGGGGCCAGGCCAGGGGGGGAGAGGGCACAGGGCTCCACGGGTCCGTGCTGATCCCACAAATTGGGGTGCAGTGATCACAGAAATGCTCATTTATTATACAAGCAGCAGGAAACCCGTAAAGACAAGCAGGAGGAAAAATGCCCTTCATGATTGCACTGTGCAGCAATGACCACGGGCGCATGTACACATTCTTCAACACATGCTAAATGCATGCTCTAGCCCTCTGCCCGATGCTTGGCTCATTGCTTCCTGAAAGCAGGTGCATGCTATGTAATCCACATGGGGCCCTAAATGGTGTGACTTGGGCACCTGGCCATGTCCTCAAATGTCACTCCACACCATGACTCCACACCACAGAATCTGATAACCAGAGAATTAGGAACCAGTCGGGTCACTGTGCTTGGTTCTACTCACCTTCAGGGACCCTGACTTTCTTTGGGAGCATGGGGGAAAGGCCCTGGCAGTGGGGCTCCTGGGACTCACCTGTGTCAGTGACCGCCAGTCCATGTTGGCGCTGCCCACATAGATATGCCGCCCATCCACAACCCAGAACTTGGAGTGCAGGATGCCCCCAGTGAGCTGCTGCATGGGCACCCACCGGACCTGGGCACCTGGGGAGGAGGAGGGCAGGAGAGCGAGTGGGCCGCATCTCGGGGCCAGCTTCATGCTGAGTTAGATTCTGGGCTCTTTGCCACTGAGCCAACTTAGTCATTCAGGCCACCCTGATGTGTGGATGCTGTTATAGCCCTTCTCCACAGATGAGGAGACGTAGGCACAGCCTGGCCAGGGTCTCTGTGGGAGCGTCTAAGGACTGCATTGCTGGCCCTTCCTGCTCTGAGCTTCCCATACAGGGCCTGTGGAGCGAGGCCCTCAGAGCTGCCTCACACCTGCCCTGAGCCCAGCACAGCCCCTCAAAGGACCTGGGAGTCACGGGGCAAGTTCTCCCTTCCTGCCCTGTCCATGCTGCTATCCTTGTCTGTGCCCTGGTGCCAACAAGATGGTGGTAGGGCCTGGGTGGCACATACACCTACCGTGGGCCACCAGCACCTGAAGGTCAGTGGAGTTCCTGGCTGGTGCTGAGCCACTGGTGGCCACAGCCACTGAGACATTCCTAGTCAGCAGCTGCTGCATCTTCTGCAGAAGGACCTCGCCCTGTAAGGGGGGCAGCTGTGAGCAGCAGCCCCAGGCACCTCAGCTCCAGGACACCCTGCTTCATGCCCTCCATAGGCCTCTGGCTCCCCACATCCCAGGGTCAAGCCAGTGTCCTGATATCCCTTAACCAGGAGCTGAGCAGCATCCCAGGATATGCCCAACACCCCGGCCCAGGAGCCACTGTTGCACCAGCCCTACTCCCTGCCCAGGAGGTCAGAAGACAGGGGCTGACTTGCTGCATGCCCAGCACTGGCAGGTGGGCAAGAACAGCCTGCAGCCTCAAAATTGAAGGTGAGGGCAAGGGACGCACAGGCTGAGAGGATGAGTCGTTGACCCCGATGTCAGACCCTGTGAGGGACCAGTAGTAGGAAGCCACGTGGACGCTTTCCTGCGCGGTATCCAGAAGCTGCAGCCAGGCCTGGGCCAGGGACTGGGCTAAGGGGCTGCCAGCAGCATACGGCAGGTCCTGGGGGAAGCTCTCAGCAAGGATGAGTCTGCAGTGCAGAGGGCCAAGAGGGCAGCCTGTGACCTCAGGGCTAGCGGCCGGCCTCCCTAGCCTGTATCATCCTGCTGCCCAGCAGAGGGACTGTCACTGTGCAGCCCTATGGTCTGAGCCAACAAGGAGGGTGGGCAGCTAAATGACCAGCAAGGCAGCTCTGAGCCCCGTGAGCCCAGAGGGATGAGCCCAGGAGCTCATTTGCTGCCAGGAGCTGTCCCTACTGTGGCTGAGGGAAGGGTGAAGTTCTGGGGTCCAGAACACCGTCACAGGCGGGAAGGGAAAGAGGAAGTATGGGCAGCAGCATGGACATGAGGACCTCAAATGTGCCCAGCACACCCAGAAGTGGACAGTGCTTGCCAGCCTTGGCCACGACTCAAGTGGCAGCTCTGGTTCACGGCAAACAGTACCCAACTCTGCACCATTCCAAGACCCAAGCTAGGCAGCCCGATGTCCTGACCTGAGTCAGCCCATGGGTGCTGGTGGAGGGTGATACCCAGCTGGGGACCTGACACTGGGTGGAAGATAGCACTCAGCTTAGCCTTGCCCATCCTGCAGCCCCACGTTTGCTCACTGGCAGGAGTCCTTCTGTGGCTGGGTCTCCCTACCCAGGGCCTCCCAGGACCCTAGGGGCTCTTCCTTGGAGTGTAGCTGGCAGCAGGCAGAAGGAGGGGACACTTGCACCAGGAGATGGGTGATAGTCACAATGCCCAGCCCCAGCACGGCCAGCAGCCCCAGAACCTGCAAAGACAGTGTCGTAAGGTCCAGAGACCCAGCTGTGGCAGGCTGGGCCTGGGGTTCCAAGTGGGGGAGGAAGGTGCAGCCCTCTAAGTGGGGTCACTGGCCTCTCCCAGTCCCCCTGGCAGAAGGACACAGATAAGTCTGCAGCAGGCTGGGTGGACTTGGTCCTGCCCATGACCTCGCAGCTGGTTGCGGCTTCTCTGCTGCAGCCTGGGCACCTATAAGCTTATGAAAATGTTGAGTTTTAAAATCATTGCCATTAGGACTCGGGTTGGAACTTACTCTGACTGCTGCATCCATGGAGACCTCTCAGGCCCAGACCTACCGTGCTGGCTCTGCCCAAAAGGCCGCGGTGTGGTGTGGAGTGGGGACACCCGGGGGCCTCGGCTACTCTGCATGGAGGAGCTGTCATCTGTGAGGGAGGGCATCACTGGCAGCTCTGGCCACAGGGTTGTTCCTCCCCAGGGGTCTACCTGCAGTGCACTCTGGTGTGGGCCCAGTCCCGGCTCCATCTGCAAACCTTGGATGGGCAACAGCTTGTAGGGCCTCTGTGAGAGTGCAGCTCACTGCATCCATGCCTCACCCCCTCCTGCCCCTCCGTCTCCTGTCTCCATAGCTGGCATCACCACAAGGAATCTCGGTTCCTCATTCTAACCATGAGACACAGCAGTCTGAAAGTACTGGTTCTGCTTTTGGCACTCAGTGCCTTTCCACTGGCTGCATCCAGCCACTTCCCTCCCGGCCTGGCCCTGCTCTGGCCCCTCAGCAGGTGCTGTCTTGGCAGCAAGGCACCAGGAGGACATGGAGTCTAGATTGGGCATCCTCTGGCTCCCCCTCTGAGGCCTGCAGGATGGAGGCTGTCTTGCCCCCGGAGAAGGCCCGCACAGGAGCTGGGAGCCAGGCCAGCCTGGACTTGAGGTGGCCCTGCTGCCCAGAGCTTTGTGACAGAGTTGGTGCTCTGGGCCTTCTGAGGTCCTCCCCAGGGCACACGGAAGGGTTGTGGGGGGTCTGCTCACTTCCTGAGACACACAGCAGCTCCATGATTTGGGCCCAGCTAATGCCAGGGACCCACGGGCCTCTTGGGCTGTGTGGTCGGTCACACTGTGACCCAGGTCTGTGCGCTTCTGGGTGCCACCCATAGTCCCTCCTGTGGAGAAGTTGGCCATCTTAGCTGTGGGGGGTGGGCTGGGGACCCCTCTGGCATATGACATTGAGCCTCCAGACACCAGGGAGGCAGCTATGAGACCCTGTGAGCATCTGCAGTCATGGCCAGTGGTGTGGATAATGTCCCTGGTCTGCAGGGTGTGGAGCCTGGCTGTTTGCACCAGACTGAGGTAGCTGGCATAGCTGTCGCTTGCTGGAGACCTTGATGCCCCAGGAGCCCTGGCTGTGTAGACTGGGCACAGGCAACACTGCAGGGCTAGTAGGGGGCTTTGTGAGCCCTGGGCTACTGGAAGGACAGACCATGGAGAGAGAGAGCAGTCCCTTCCTAACGGCGCATTCCCTTCCATTCCTGGCTGGCTGACACCTACCTCTGGGGGCCCTGCCCTGGCGTCCATCCTGGCTCCAGACACTGACCGCAGACCCTCTGCTCGCAGGCAGCGCCTGTCTCCCCTTGCTGCTGCTTCCCCTTTCAGCCTCTTCCTCTTCGCCGTGTCCCCGCCCCTACTGAGACACACATTGGGAGGCTGGAGGGTGGAGCTGAGCATGACGACTCCCCTCCAGAGTGGCCCACTGAGCAAACCAGCATGTCAGGGCCAAGCTTGACTTCCGGCCAGAGACCAAGCCACTGCAGCCAATGAGACTGCCGATTTCTCTGTCCTGGCTTAGATATGGGTGTCCCCCGAAGCCTCAGGCATCTTGGGGAAATGACTGGATCAGGGGGCTCACAGCAGACAACAGTCAGGAGGCGGGGCCTGGCAAGAAGAGGCAGTCACTAGGGTGTGGCCTAGAAGGCTTCATCTGCCTCTCTGGCTTCTTCCTTCTATTCTCTGCTTCCCGTCCACCATGCTGCAAAACAGCTTTCTTCTGCCATGTCCCTGTGCCATGCTGTCCCGACTTGGAGCGAGCTGACCATGGATTGAATTGAATTAACCCTCCCCTTCCTAAAGTTGTGGCTGTCTAGTATTGTGTCCCAGCAACAAGGGGAGTCAGACAGACCAACCATGTTGAGAGGCTGCTGGTGTAGACAGGGCTTTGGCTCCACAGCCATTGGGAGCTGGTCTCTCCAGCTCTCAGCTCCTAATCTGTAGAATTCCTAGCTGCATCCTCCCACAATGGCTGCTGGGGCTCAGCCGTTGCTTGCAGGCCCCACAGCACGTTTCCACTTGGCTATGGTTTAGAACTTACTCTGGGCTTGTTCACAAGGCCACGTGTAGCTACAGGGAGGCTGGGGGTGGAGGCAGCCAGGGGCTTATGCTGGGGGATGCAGGTGGGGCTGCGCACTGGCTGCCTGGACAGCAGCATGGTGGGAGGCGCCTGGCAGGGGCTCTGAGGACAGGGCCTCAGGAGAAGCACCTGCTTCCTCCAGGTCACCAACTGGCCACTGGGCTCTGTCCAGGGTGCTGACCTTGGTGTGGTCTCAGGAGGAACAGGAAGTGCCACCAGGCGGTGGCATTCCCAGAGCCATTTCCTGGGGCCAGAAGAAGAGAAAGAAAGTGAACCCAGCCCTCCACTTCTGGCAGACCTGGCCAGGCTGTTCTCCCCTCCAAGCTGGTGGAACAGCTCCACCTTCTGGCCAGTTGCATATGCCTGGGAGCTTTTTCGGGCTGGTGAATGGCCACTCAGGATGAGAGGCTCAGTTTACCATGGCATGAAGGCACCTCAGCCAGCAGTGTGTGAAAAGCCTCCCTCCTCCCAGGACAGCTGTGCTGTGTGGGGCCACAGGGAAAGCCTCACTTTTCCATATACACATGTTTACAGACATCAGAGCAGGAGCTGGGTCGCAGGGGCTGTGGCTCTTCGTGCAAGGAGACCTGGCGCAGCCCCTCAGTGCAGGGACAAGAAGTGCAGCTCAGACTCCAAAGGGCAGTGCCCAGCTTCCACCTGCTGCAGCAGGCCCGACCCTGGGCCTGGGACGCTTGGTGGCCTTGGGAGGGGGTGATGGGGCTTCGCAGAGGGTTAGAAAGGGAAATGTTCTTTTTTTCAATGTCCTACTTCCAAAATGCCTTTATGAGGGGAAATAAACACCTCGTTATTTGCCTACAGGGTGAAGGGGCTGTTTCATTCTAAATAAGTGTCAGCTTACGAAGCTCCTGGTCCTGTGGGCAAGCCACCCCTGTGAGAGCCACTCAGTGTCAACCAACACTGCAGACAGGTGTGTCCAGGGTGTGCACTGCAGACAATCCCTGGCCAGCCTGGAGAGTGACCTGTACACCTTCTCACAGCTCAAAGTCACTTCGGATTCTGTTTGGGATCTCTCACTCCAGGGGGACCAGCCCTGAGCCCTACATGCAGAAGCTGGCAGAGGACAGCCTTCAGCTCAGACACAGATATGGGAATGGGGTATGTGTCAGGCCCCTGCTCTGGCAGCCCATGTGCTGCCTCACAGTATACTAAGAAAAGTAAGTTGGAGGAGTGATCCTAACACTGTGGTGAAACACGCAGAATTGTTAGTATATGTCCCACCCCATGATACACAATGACACCGTCAGCTTTCTCTTTCTTTTCTCTTTGGCAGTACTGGGGGTTGAACCCAGGACTTCACCCCCACCATTTGTGTATTTGTGCACTGATTTAATCTTGGAACAAGATCTTCCTAAGTCACAAAGTTGCCCAGGCTCCGCTTGAACTTGCACTCCTCCTGCCTCAGCCTGCCAAGCCCCCAGGGTGACAGGTGTGCACCCCACCTGATTTCCCCTCCCTGGGCCATGACGGACGTGGCCCTGGTGCCGCCCGCTGTGTGCCTGTGTGGACTGCGATGCTGGCTGTACACTTGCTCTGCGCATCCCCGCTGCTTCTCCTCTTCTCATGCTGAAGCCACTGCTCAGCAAGACAGATGTGACAATGGCAACAGTAGAGCCAGCACCCGTGTGCAACAGGGTGCCAGCACAGTCTTGGCCAGCACATTTGACCCTCCCCCTGCAAGGCATCACTGAGACATGCTGCCCACTGCTTGGATGTTGCTACACACCTGGCCTCCCAAGGCACTGGACCTTCCATCTGCGTGGCGCAGCTGCGACCTCCTCACGTGCCTTCTCACCAGACGCTGCTACTGACCTACCCTCTAGGAACCTGGGATTCTGTGCAGATCAGAGAAAGTGTGGTGCGATTGTGGTCGTTGTTTGTTTGTTTTGAGGCAGGGTTAGGTTAATGTTCAGGCTGCCTTTGATCCTACAGCACTCCTGCCTCAGCCTCCAGAGTGCTGGGATTACAGGCATGCACGCCCACACAGGGCTGATTGCTAAGTGAGCTCACTGGGTTTGTGTCAAGGGTCCTCCTGTGGGTCCAGAGTGTGGACTTTTTCTAGGAAGAGCTGCTTGACCAAAGCGTTCTAGATGGGCAGACATGGTTTGCAACTGTAGGTGCTGCTTTAGTAAATCCTGCCACTTTTCCCAGAATACTTGGATTGCTGTTTCTCTCATCAGCCGACACCAGGACTCTGGTTTTAGCTTTCCGGGAGGATGCCTGGAGCTTATGGGTGTTTTCACTTGCTTTAATCTGGTGACAAGTCAGAGTGAACATCTTCCATCTAGTTACTTGGCCACTTTGGTACTTCCTGGAGTGCCTGCTGGGTCCTTGGCATGGATTTGTTTCAGGTTTGTGACCTGGCACAGGATCTTTGGACCAGGCCAAGGCACATGTGGTAAACGCCTAGGCGAGGCTCTGACTGGGCTTCAGCTGGAGGCAAGCAGCTGGCTAAGGTGCCACTCTGTGGAGGAAAGGCAGACGCGAGGGCAGACTCAGCCCAGCAGGTCTCGCTGCCGGTGCCACTGCTTTGGAAGGTGTTTCCTTTGTTCAGATCCAGCCATGGACAGCCATGGGCACTTGTCCTAGGGGTTTCTGAGCTCCTCTCGCAGCTGGCACAGAAGCCTGGCCTTGGTGGCAGAGTCAGAGTCTTCTGACAGGGCCGAAGGACTCCAGGTGCATGGGCTGCTGCAGCAGTAAAAGGAGTGGGTGTGGGGAAGAGAGGGCAGGGGCTGGGCTTAGCCAGGGCAGGACACTGCCTAGCTCACGTGAGGGCCTGAGAGAGACGGACAGGCAGATGCTCACCAACCCCAAAGGCCATTGTAAAGAGCTGAGTGGAGTCAGATACAAATAAAGACAGAAAGGCAGGGCCAGAGAGATAGCTCAGCGGACTAAGTCCTGCTTAGGCAAGCACAGGGACCAGATCCCTGGTACCGCATGCTGTGCCGACCCTGGAACCCCTGGTGTGCCATGCTGGCCCCAAAACCGGGTGTGGTGGTGCATGCCTGTAGTCCCAGTGCTAGGTTAGCTGAGACAGGAGGACCACTATGTTTGAGCTGAAGAGCAAGACTCTATGTCAAGTGAAAAAAAAAAAAAAAAGCACAGAACAGCATCTCTCGGATGTATGAGAGAACATCAACCAAGCTAACCTACATGGAGTTGAAATCTCAGAAAAAAGAGACCAGACCAGCAACAACAAAAAAGACTATTCAAAGAGAAAATAGCAAAATGTTTTCCATGAGTATGTTACTGAAATTCATGACAGAAAAGAACTAAAAAGCAAAAACTTAAATTA